AAACAGTTAGACTAAAATGTCGTCTGGACAACGGGACGTAAACGAGAGCTTCATCTCTCATGATCGCGCAGGACATTCGGTGTACCGTGGATTGGTACGACAGCCGTGGACTCCTAGGGCTCCGTGGAAAAACCCATCTTCAACGCAATCATGAGAGATGAAGCTCTCGCTTACGTTCTGTTTTGCGGAGGACACTTTAGTGTATCTGTTTACGAAAAAGAATCCGTCCTCTGTCGAATCACCCGGTGAGCAAACGCTTTTCCAGAAATCTCTATAAAAATCTCTAAAATACCGGCTTCCGAGAAAATATTCTAAACATTTCCTGCGTGCGAAACATGCTCTTCAGTCCTGGCTATCGAACAGCGAAAACCGCTACTCTTCACTTCTTTTCGTTCAACACTTATTCAAAAATTGACCACTACTATTGTATTGAGGAATCGACAGTAGTAGACACATGACGAGAGCGGAGAAAGAAAAAGCTGCATCAGCCACATTGCTTTACCATTCATAACACCAGTATGGTTGCTTTTATTTCTATAGTATCAACAGCGGCTGGAACGACGCCGATTGGAGGATCAACGCCAGCACCGGGAACTACCGGTGGCGTTTCGCTCGTGTCAGGAGAAACGACGCCGATTGGAGGATCAACGCCAGCACCGGGAACTACCGGTGGCGTTTCGCTCGTGTCAGGAGAAACGACGCCGATTGGAGGATCAACGCCAGCAGGAACCCCATTTGGTAGTGCGCCAACGAGCGGTGTGCCTCATACGGGAACCACTGGCATCACCACAGTCAAGTTAGATACACCATGCCAAGAAATGGAATTCTTCGACACAATCCTATCGTTGAACAATGTGGTTATCACACCGAAAGATGTCGACAATAAAACGGAGTTGAGTCCAACGTCAGGTAATGGTTTGGATTTTCCCCATGACGAGTTACATCCCACAATTGAAATGAAACTACCGAAACCATCGGTGATAAACGGTCTCGAGCTTTTACCAAAATCGCCAAG